CAGGCGGTTCATCGGCTGCCGACTGCTCTGTGCACTCCATCGCGGAGGCTCTCTGCCAGTCGAAGTCTCCACCGCCTGCTTGAGACTCGAGAATGCGAGCCTGAGACACTAACACGTCCGGTCTGACTGGGTTGGAATGTCCAGGCCTGCTATTGTAATATCGGCAACCAGCTGGCATCACTCAGAAATGCCCTTGATGAGATGAGCTCGGATTGCGGCGCACTCGCCTGCCACGGTCCGCCCACCACGGAGTGCCAACGCAGCGAGGCTGAGGGCTCCCGCGTCCTCTCGACCTCAATCTGCAGCGAGCTTTCCATGAAGGAGTGCATCTGGCGTTAGCCCGCGTAAGGTGCGACCGATGCTCTGAACATGAACGGCTTAACGGTGCCCCCCTTTTTATTCGCCTCCGCGTCGCCAGGCTTGGGGTCAGCGCTGGGGATTCCACCGCTCTTGCCAAGAGCTGTGCCATCTGTTTGTTCCCAGCAACCTGTGGTGTTGGGTCCTCGCTTTGAACAGACAGCGCCCCGCGTCCCTCTCCTCTCCTCCTCCTCCCTCCTCCAATCCTTGCCTCTGCCCTGCGCACCTGGCTCCCATTTCGGCGCACCCCTCACGTTTCGTAGCCTCCATGGAAGGCCCCAGTGGCTGCGCTCGCATGCGCCCGCCGCACTATTTTCGGCACACCCCTCACACGCTTCGTGGCCCCATAGGGAGCTCCACCGAAGGCCCCAGTGGCTGCTTTCGCACCCGCCCGGCGCACCTATTTCGGCACACCCCTTACACGTTCCGTGACCCCATAGGGAGCTCCGCCGATGACAATATTCACACTTGCGTTGCCCACAACTGCATATGGTTGGGTCCTGCGCCAGGTTAACCGATCTCCTGCGCCTCAGCAGCCTCCTCTTGCTCCTTGCGCCCTGCAGCCCCTCTCGTGTCTCCTACGGCTGCAGGGGCGTTCCCCAGGACCACGTCCTCGTCCTCCTCGTCTTCCTCCTCTCTCCTCGTCCTCGTCCTCGTCCTCGTCCTCGTCGCCTTCATTCTCTCCCCTCCGGATCGTAAGCGCGCCTCGTCTCCGTCGTCGTCGTCGTCGTCGTCGTCGGCGTCGTCGTGGTCGTGGTGCGTGTTGCTCTGCTCGGGATTCTGTTTCCCTTATGCAGTGACCACCCACTTGGCTTGCCAGGCATTGCACGCCGCCTGGCTGTCCGTCCGTCCGTCTGTCTGTCTGTCTTCCCGGCTCTCTGAGCCGCGGCGCTTTGAGCTTCTTAGCTCGGGGACGCGTCGGCCACCGCCGCCCTCTCCCTTGTCGGTGGCCCTGACGAGGTTGGGGGAGAGGGTGCCGAAACGCGCCCAGAGTCCAGCAAGGCATGAGGGTGCAAACCCGACTTGTCTGGCTGATGCTCTGGGGGGGCCTGTGCTCAGGGGAGGCTGCAGCACCGCTCAACGATGTGCTGTTTAACCGAACCTGCAGGGTGGGCCCTTTCCCAAATCCGTGCTTCGGTGCGGATCGTAAGCGCGCCTCGTCTCCGTCGTCGTCGTCGTCGGCGTCGTCGTGGTCGTGGTGCGTGTTGCTCTGCTCGGGATTCTGTTTCCCTTATGCAGTGACCACCACCACCACCACCACCTCTCCCCTCGGGGCCCGCATGCGGAGCGCCCCCCCCCCCCGCGGGGGCCGCACCGGATCTTCGCCGAACAAGCGGGCCCCTCCTCCGCTTCAGGGCGGGGACGTCGAAAGATAAGACGTCGGCCTGCCAGCCCAGGGCGCCCCACGGATAGTCCTCGTCCCACGACGTCGGGAGCCTCGAGACGGGGGCCACTGCAAACGGGGGTCAGCCAGAGCGCCGGATCTGGCTGGATCCCGCAGAGCCAGAGTCGCATTGACCCGGGCCTCGGTGCAGGATCCTGCAGGACCTCGCAGGATCCTGCAAGGCCCGACGGACCCGTGTTTGGCTTGACCCGGGTCGGCGAGTCCCCTGGCCGACGGCGCCAGGGGCCCGCGGAAGCTCTGGGGCACCTCAGGGCCCTCGGGGTCGACGAGGAACGTGCCTGCTGCACAGTCGGCCCACATGGAATGGATGGGCAACCTTCCCAGAAGCGGGCAAGGGCGAGGAGAAGGGCCGCCAGGACACCAGCACCAGGACCTCTAGGAACCAGAGAGGCAGGGCCGCCGTGAGGAGCAGGAAGGGCCCCCCTGCGTCCTTGCCTCCTCGGTCCGTCCTGGGCCGCGTTCGCTGGCCGCGCTCCGCTCGAGAAGCTTCGAAGCGGCCCTCCGAGGCCCTCGCATCCTCATCGCGTATCCTTATGATGCGGGCCGACTGTGTCCTCCCCGTCCCCACCGGGCCCACACTCGGTGTGGCCTCCGAGGGGGGTCTGCATCCCAGGCGCCTGCTGGTCGTCTCCCCTCGATGGGAACGCACGGGGGGCTGCTCGGCAGTGACAGAGGCTCGTTCTGGGGGACCTGCCTAATGCCCACCGAACGGATCTGTTCGTCTCTACTTCGACTCGTATTCGACTCTAGTGCGACTCTAGCTCGACTCGAGTTCCACTCTGGTTCGACTCAAGCTCGACTCAAGTCGACGGACGTTCGACGCAGCATCGACGCATGAGTGGAGCGAGTGGCTCCAGGAAGTAGTGATAACGTGGAAGGGGTGCACGTCAGTCTTGCTCCACTCGGTGCTGTGCACTGCCTCCAAGTCGTCCTCGCGATCGGCAAGCACTGGCGCACGGTGGGCGGCGACTGCCTCCGACTGCGTGTCAAACGCGTCGGCAATGCGCAGGCCACCTGAGTCGGTCTGGTGCTGCTCGGCAGTCTGCCCCTTGCGCCTCCGCTCCAAGAGTGAGGCACAGCTTGTGGCGAAGAGTGCTGTCCGAGGTGGAGCGGGAGGTGGTGGAGGAAGAGGGGTGAGGATGATTCCTTCTTCTTTCCCTTTGGCATCCGCCTACCTCTCATCCTCCTCATACTCCCATTTTAGAGCGGGGCGTATGAGAAGGGCCTCTCTCCACTTCCTTTTCCGAGTCCTCCCCACCTTGTCCTCCTCCTCCTCCTCCTCCTCCTCCTCTTCCTCCTCCTCCTGCTCTCCCTTCTGGTCCTTTTCCTTGTCCTCCTTGTTATCCTCCTCCTCCTCCTCCTTCTCCCCCTTCTTGTCCTCTTCCTCCTCCTCCTCCTTCTGCCCCCTCCTGCGGGAGGGGGCTCATGCGCCGCCAATGTTTGCCCCCGAACTCGCGGGTGAATTCGCAGTGCTCCAGTCTCGCGCATACTAGACGGGCTCTCTAGGCGACCGAGGGCCCTTCAGCTGCGCCAAACAGCAGCGCCAGCGACCACAGCAAAATCAAGTTACCCGCGCGCAGGGGGGGGCAGGAGCACCCTGCTTCTTAGAAGGCGCGGGCCTTGTCTATAGATGCAGGGCCGGCGCCTTCTGAGAAGGAGTCTCCTTCTAAGAAGCCGTCCCCCCTCCCCCTGCCCCCTTGTGCGCGCCGCCAAGCAAGGTTGCGCAAGTCCTGTCGATTTGACATCTCTGTATTCTCCAGGCAGGCTGGCGGCTGGGGTCCCCAGCCGGCTTATCTCTGGCCCGCAGGGCCGGGCCGGCTGAGTTGGCAGGCGCGGCGGGCGCGCCCCAGGCATGGCCTGCGTGGGAACCCCGCCCACCATGTGGCCAGTGCCCAAACCACACTACAAACCGTGCTGAAAGAGTGCGCGGCCTGCAGAGCACTGCTCAGATGCTGGCAATCCTTTCCGCTCAGGCTGCTCACTGACACTGACGCCTTTCCGCAACCAGAAGGTGGTCGAAAGT